TTCTGCGCTACCACGCCCGGCTGATTTTTTGATTTATTGTAGAGATGAGGTCTCTCTGCCCAGGCAGGTCTCGAACCCGCGGGCTCAGGCAATCCACTCACCTCAGCCTCCCAAGGCGCGGGATTACAGGCTGAGCCACCGAGCCCGGCTTATTAATTATTTTTTGAGACAGGGTCTTGCTTTGTCACCTAGGCTGGAGTACATTGGGGCAGTCGTAGATCATGATAACCTTGAACTCTGGGTTCAGGTGATCCTCTTGCCTCAGCCTATTGAATAGCTAAGACTACAGATGTGTGACATCATGTCCGGCTGCACAGTGCATGCCCCAATACTCATTGGTGCTAATAATTTTTATTGATTGATTGATTGATTGTAGAGGCAAAGGTGTCACTATGTTGCCCAAACTGATCTTGCACTCCTGGCCTCATGGGATCCTCTCACCTCGACTTCTAAAAGTGCTGAGATTATAGGCACAAGTCACTGCGACTAGCCCATCTAAATTTGTTAAAGTTCACTTTATGATGTTCTCACAACCACGAAATCACCTAATGATGCAGTTCTCAGGACGTATCCCTGTCATTAAGCAACACATGACTGTATAAGTAAGCATATATTGTTTAAGTAAATTTTATAAATGTGACTACTTGAGCAATAAAATGGAACTAAAATATTCGGAGAAATAATGCATAAGATGGTGATGTGTTTGCAATAGTGAAGCTCACAGTATGCAAATTATACTTCAGTAAAGTTGTTTAAAATATGTGCTACTTGGAGAAGAATGATTGGAGAACAGAATATACTGTCTCAATTACAATAAATATGCCTTTAATTAAAACTCATGATAATATTCTGATAGTTTTAATTTACTTATGCTGTAATTTCTACACTATAAAAATAAAGTCTTCTCATTGGAAACAACTACTGCAGTATTCTGTAGCAAAAAGTTAGGCAGTGACCTAATTCCTTAGTAGATTTTATAAATTAGGATATATTCAAACAGTGGGAAACTGCATAGCAGTGGATATAATGTCTCTTTGTATACTGTCATGAGTGATCTCAAACAATGTTAAGTTAAAAAAAAAAAGCTTCCAAAGAATACTCTGTAACACCATTTTATGAAATTTTAATAATTTCATTCAAAGTATAAAAACCCATAAGGGAATAATATGTCCAAATTCAGGGTAGTGGTTATTAAAGGGTAAGGAGTAGGAATAAGGAAGGCAACTTAGTTACATAGAAGGCTTTAAATTATATCTGTGATGTTTAATTATTTAACAGTATTATAGGCATATTATTTTATTATATGCTTGGAATATTTTACTAAAATATGTGTTACGTGCTTAGAATATTAATATGACAGATAGTTTAGTTTTAATTCACATAACAATTCAAAGTTTGTGTGTATGGGACTATGTCAAGGGAAGAATAACAAATTAATTGCTTTTCTCCCCACTTCTTATCAGATTAAAAGTGAATTAACCTATAAAGTGCCAAACACCTTAATTATGTGATGGAAGCATACCTATTAGATTACTTGATTCTCACAACAGTCTTATATATTTATGAAGAAAAGTATAATCAATGCAAAGTTAGAACTGGAACTTAGATTTTTATTTCTCTAAAACCTGTGTTCATTTCATGACATTAAATTGCATATCTCTGGCAGTTAATGATTTATTTTAGAAATAGTGAATTAAATGCACCTTACAAAATGAGACTATGTCTAAAGTACACATTAACAGTAAGGATACTAAAATAATCTGAAGCATGACTTTTTTATCTGAAAACTGTCATTAGTAACTTTAGTGTTCCTTTTTTATTTTAACACCATTGATCATGATTTAGTACATGTTTAGCATCTAAGTTTAACTGTGTGACTTGTTATTTTATCATTTTAAATCACATTCTGTTTTCATTTTGATTTTAGGATAGAAAGTTAACAAAATCTGAGAGGCAGAGATTTAAAGAAGAGGCTGAAATGTTAAAGGGTCTTCAGCATCCCAATATTGTTCGATTTTATGATTCCTGGGAATCTACGGTAAAAGGAAAGAAGTGCATTGTTTTGGTGACTGAACTTATGACATCTGGAACACTTAAAACGTAAGTCCATCAATATTATAAAAGTTGACCAGTATGAGAGAATTTGATTTTTTAAATTTCAGGCCTACCAGTTCTACTTTGGTTGCCTAGCCTGCAAAGGAGGGAACAATCCTTCCAACTGTTACTATATTTGCATATTTTCTTGCTCACAAAGTCTTCTGGCATATAAAGTAATTTGATAATTATTTATTGGTAAATATTGAAATGAGAAGTTATTGCAAAATAAACCTAATTATTTTAAGGCTAAGTGATCAGAAATCACTTGTCAAGGTAGCCCTCTAGTGGTTATTTATTGAGAAACTTTACCCATTTATTTTTATATTTATGTTGTTTTTTGCTGCACCTATAAACTTTTATATCAGATACAAATTGTATAGTGCTTTTACTTCCATTTTCCATAGCAAAATAAATTGATCCCCAGATAGCTAGATCTATCATCCCTTTTAGGGAAACAGGTAAAACTAAGACGCTCTTTGTTATCTGTTGTAAAAAGCTTTAGTTGAGAGTTGGAGTATGCTTTTAGAATCTTAGCTCTCTTAGAGTATCTGTTTGTACTCAGGAACCTGCTATAAATTGTGTGGTTTAAATTTTTTATTGTGGAGAAATTAGATTCTTAAAAATTGTTGCTGTGGTATATACTTATTCTTTATTACCTTTTAAAGTTAATACTACTAATTAATTCTAGATCTTTGAAACATAGTCTTATAGCTCCTAGATATAGTCACTTGCATATATCCTTGAATACTCAAGATTAACATTGGAACTTGAACAGATAATTTGTCTCCTAAAAATCCTAATTTTTCCACCCAGCTTCTCCTCTATAGTATCACCTTTATTATTGTCAGTCGGCCTTCTTGTTATTCACAGATCTGTCTCTTCCACTAGACTATGCTACCTAGTACTGTATCTGAAATTTGATAAATATTTGTATGGATTCAGGACAATTGTGTGTAAGTAATTGTGTGTATATCTTACCTTGAGATTGTTTCCACTGGTTTGAATATTTGGTTGTAAACTAGCAGGCATGCCTAGGAGTACCTTATGACAGTTCGTTTTATAATACTGTATTGTAGTATGGAATATAATAAAAGTTTCTTCCAATACATGTCCAAGCTTCAAAGAAAGAAAGCATAACCTCCAGATAATAAGAAGAGGTAACCTAAAACCAAAATAGGAGCCTGTACCCTGGCAGTCCATTGGGATTTCACACCAGGTAGAGGGCTTGAGGAGCAGATACTAAAGTTCTGATGTCCATGCAAGGACAGAAGGCCTTAGAACTAGGTAGAGGGGAGCTGGAACTTAACCTGTGTCAATAAAACTGAATTTTCCGTGTAAAGGGAGAACTCAGTATCCCATCCAGTAAAAGCTACAAGGAAGCTTGCCCCTCTGCACAAGAATGCAAATAAAATATTGTTTTTATGAAACTGTTTCAAAGAAAATAATTTTTTTCAGTATCAAGAAAAAAGAATGTAAATACGAGGCCCTGTGAAATATGGAAAGTCCCATCTCTTTTGCCCAATTTGCCTCTCCAAATGCTATCAGTGTTCATAATTATTCTGTATTCTTCCATTTCATATGTAAATAGCTCTATAATACAAATTCATACTACCTGCTTGGTGCAGGAATTCTAAGCCAAGGAATGCACATTATAATTAATACAGAACTGAAAACTCCCAAGGATGTTTTCATAGTTCATTGGTCACAGTATCCAGAGACAGGATAGTTTCCAAAGAAGACAACCTCATAATTAAATAAAGGTGAAGAGACCCAACCGGAAAATGCACCACAGTAAATAAAGATATTATGAACAAGTTTGAAAATGATTACAAAGTACTTAGGTAAAGATGTCAGTAAAGATATATGTAAGTTTATAGAAAGTATATAAAGAATGAAGGGGTATAGGCCATATGTGAAGGAATAGGATGCAATCAAAAAAAGGACAAGTATAGTTGAAAAGGATCTGAAGAACTTCTAAAAATAAGAGCAAACCATTAAAATTAAAACTTCAGTGGTTAGGGTAAACAACAGACTAAATTGAATGGGCAAGAATAAGTATGAAGAGATCAGAAAGCAGAAAAAGACAGAAAATGTCAAAAGTCAAAGAAATAAGGAGTGAGATTACCTAATTGGACTTAATTATCTAAAAGAAGATAATAGAATGAGGTAAAGCAATATTTAAGATGGTGATGGCTTATATTAAGAATGTATACAGATTTCTAAGCACATAGATGGAAAAATATTCAAGTTCATAGCTAGAAGAAAACAGAATTCCTGGGACCATTGGTATCACTTGGAGAGGTAAATTGGGATGGAGTGAGAATTCTTCTAAAATATATGCTTTTTGGACTTTTTGAGGTTCTACCTTTGTTCCTCATGTATAAATACTTACACTGAAACAAATATAACATCTGTACCTTAATAAGGTGGGAATGTATTGGTGAGAAAATTTGGAGCAAGAAATGGAAATGTTTTCAATTGAGTTGCAATTCACTTATCATAAAATTAGTCTTTGTTTGTTAAGTTAGGGTCTCACTCTATCACTCAGGCTGGAGTACAGTGGTGTGATCACAGCTGACTGCAGTGGTAAATTCTGGGTTCAAGTGATCTTTCTACCTTAGCCTCCTATAGTAGCTCACTTAGGATGGTATTCCCCAATTCTATCCAAAATGCTGCGGAAGACATTTTTTATGGCTGAATAGTAGTCCATGATGTGTTGTGTATCACATTTTTATTATCTACTGATAAGTAGAAGGGCATTTAGATTGATTTTGCATATTCGCAATTGTGAATTGTGCTGCAATAAGCATACAAGTACAGGTGTCTTTTTTGTATAATAATCTCTGTTCTTTTGGGTATGTGCCTAGTAGTGGGATCAAATTTGCTGGATCAAGTGATAGATCTGCTTTTATTTCTTTCTTTTTTTTTTTTTTGAGTTGAAGTCTCACTCTGTTGCCCAGACTGGAGTGCAGTGGCCGCTCCCGGCCACCGCAACCTCGCCTGCTCGGCTCCAGCGATCCTTCCGCCTCAGCCTTCCAAGTAGCTGGAACTATAGGCGAGTGCTACCACGCCAGGCTAATTTTTGATTTATTGTAGAGATGAGGTCTCGCCAAGTTGCCCAGGCGGGTTTCGAACCTGCAGGCTCAGACAGTCTCACCTCAGCCTCCCAAAGGCGTGGGATTACAGGGTGAGCCACCGAGCCCGGCTGCTTTTATTTCTTTAAGAAGTCTTCATACTGATTTTCATACAGCTTGCACTAATTTGCACTCCCACCATTGGTGTATATAAGCATTCTCTTTTTACTACATTCTTGCCCGCATCTGTTGTTTTTGATTTTTTAATAGTGGCCATTCTGCTTGGTATAAGATGGTATCTAATTGTGGTTTCAGTTTGCATTTCCATGACAGTTAGTGAAGTTGAGATTTTTTTCATATGTTTGATGGTCATTTGTATATTTTCTCTTGAGAGATGTCTGTTCAGGTCATTTGCTCACTTTTAAGTGGGGTTATTTGCTTTTTTCTTGCTGATTTGTTTTTCTTTGTAGATTCTGAATGTTAGTCCTTTGTTGGATGTGTAGTTTGCGAATATCTTCTTCCATTCTATATATTGCCTATTTGCTTTGTTGGTGATTTCTTTTGCTGTGCAGAAGATTTTTAGTTTAATTAAGTCCCACTTATTTAGTTTTGTTTTTTCTGCATTTGTTTTTGGGGTTTACGCCATAAATTATTTGCCTAGACCAATGTCCAGAGGAGTTTTTCCTGGGTTTTCTTCCAGGGTTTTTATGGTTTCAGGTCTGACATTTAATCTCTCTTGTATTAATTTTTGTATATAGTGAGAGAGAAGGATCAAGTTTCATTTTTCTGCATGTAGCTATACAGTTTTCCCAGCATCATTTGTTGAATATAGGGTATCCTTTCCCTAGTGTTTGTTTTTGTCTGCTTTGTCAAAGATCAGTTGGTTGTAGGTATTTGGGTTTATTTCTGAATTCTCTATTCTGTTCCACTGGTCCGTGTGTCTGCTCTTGTACCAGTATCATGCTGTTTTGGTTACTAAAGCCTTGCAGTATAATTTAAAGTCAGGTAGTGTGATGTGTCTCCAGTTTTCTTCTTTTTGCTTAGGATTTCTCTGGTTATTCTGGCTCTTTTTTGGTTCCATATGAATTTCAGGATCATTGTTTTCTAGTTCTGTGAAAAATGGCATTGATAGTTTGATAGGGATTGCATTGAATCTGGGTATTACTTTGGGTAACATAGTCATTTTGAACAATGTTGATTCTTCCAATCCATGAGCATGGGATGTTTTTTCCTTTGTGTTATCTATAATTTATTTCATCAGTGTTTATAGTTCTCCCTGTGGAGATCTTTTACTTCCTTGGTTAAAATATTCTTAGGTATTTTAGCTTTTTGGCTGCTATTGTAAATGGAATCAAGTTCTTGATTTGATTCTCAGCTTGGTCCCTATTGGTATATGGCAGTGCTACTGATTTTTGTGTATTGGTTTTGTATCCTGAGACTTTACTGAATTCAATTGTCAGGTTCAGGAATCTTTTGGAGGAATTTTTAGGATTCTCTAGCTATAAGATCATATTGTCAGCATACAGAGATAGTTTGGTTTCTTTTCCAATCTGGATACCCTTTATTTCTTTATCTTGCCTGATTGCTCTGACTAGGTCTTCCTGCACTGTATTAAATAAGAGTGGTGACTGTAGCTTTATAGTTAGTTTTGAAAATAAGAGTTGTGAGTTCTCTGTTACTCTTTTTTAATATCGTTTTCACTGTTTGGATCTCCTTGTAATTTTATATGAATTTTAGGACTAAATTTCCATTTCTACAAAAAAGACTTTGGACTTTTCATAGGGATGGTATAAAATCTGTAGTTCACTTTGGGTGGTATTGCTATCTTAACTACATTAAGTCTTGTAATTCATGAACACAGGATGTCTTTCCACTTATTTATGTCATCTTTAATTTCTTTTAGCACTGCTATAATTTACATATACAAGT